CCAATAGGAGCTAGCGCCACAACGTTGCCGGCTAGAAGGTTTACGAGAAGTGATGTACGTTCGTTTGTGTACTCCTTCTTACTTTTAGACTTCTAAAACATCGTTAAACAAATATCTTTTAAATATATAATATCAAATGTTTTTTGAAAGTATTATTTCTGTTTAAACTTTTACCATATTTAAAGTTTCATTGTTTTAAAAGTCACTTAATTGCATAGGTGCTCTGCAGCATTCTTTGGTATCATAATTATTACTAGGTTCACTAACAAAATCTATTTCTAGATTATTTTAACACTTGCTTCGATTACAAAAAATGTCTCTTTATATGTCAAAATTAGAAAAAAATATTTATAGGAATAAAGAGCCTTATACACTGTTTATTATATGTGATATAAAAACAAAAAAGCATAATAAATATTACAAACCTTGAGATGCAGCATATCCTAAGCATTGTGCACTAAAAAGTTCATTTTTGTTAATTACAACAACCACATCATAAGGTTTTTGCCCTACTTTATGTTTAGGTGTAATTTGTCTCCTTCTCTCTTATGGAAAAAGTAATTATTTCCATATTCTTGCTTGGCAGATCTAAAAATAAAACCTGAGATAAATATGTTTTACTATAAGGTGTATTGCTCCATATAAACTGTAACTACCTACTATCAAAACAAATTATAAATAGTCTAACCTTTCTGTCTTTTGTAAACTGAGTATTGTTAAAAAAATGCAGTAATCATCTCGGTAATCATATTTTCGTTTACAATGGGCAAAACACTTGATTCAACTTTTATAAATCCAGCTGATAAATTCATATTATTAATAAAATTAAACCAAAACAAATAACTAAGGTTAGGTGTTAGGTGATGTCAATTTTAATGTCACTTAGATGTGCGTTCACTTCGACATTCTGTGTGTCGGTTTGTTCATTGGCTTGGTTTTGTATAACAAAAAAAAACTTCGACACAAGATGATTGGTCTATTCCCGATGACGTATAATTTCAAATTTTAAATTTCAATTGGGCTTAATTTAAAAACTTTTAGCTTTTTTAACGAACTGACTATTTAGAATAACTTGTATAGTGACTAACTATTACAGTATAATTTATAAAACAGCATATCTCACATGTGAACATGGCCCATTAAGTGATAGAGATCGCAGCTAGTATGAATTCTATATAAATAAATATCCGTTGTTTTTAAAATCTTCACTACTATCTTATTTAACACACTACACAAACTAGTAGATGTAAATCTTTTTTTACGTCAATACTTTTACTTTGAACTTTGAAACGTTGTTCAACCTCGTTTGAGCTTATGGCTCTTTATTTTGGTTACGGATTTCTACTTTTTTACTGCTTGTGTAGAAAATAAGAAAATATAGACATTAATATAAAAGAAAAAAACGATCATACAAAACAAGTAAAGGCCAGTATGAAATATACTTAAACGAACTAAAAGATAACATGTTATTTGGAGAAAACAAATATTCGGCAAACAAACCGGACTATTTAAAAAAAAAAACAGAAATAGTTATGGTGGGCCTGCAAAGAATGAAGCCAGTTGAAAAAAGGTACGTTATACCTACTACAAAATAATTATTTTTTTTGTATAAATGGATTTGTCAGAGTTTTATTACATGTGCATAATTTTAAGGCATTTTTAGATTGGAGGTCCCAAGTTCGAAAAAAGGGCCAAATTTTAAAACAAGCATTAAAGGAAATGTAGTAATCAAAGAAATTCCAGAAGTTTTAGATGTGAGAATCAACTTACCTGGTCCCTCAGAGGTGAAAATTCGCCTTTCTACCACTTAAATCCCACAGGGGAAGTGCAACGAAAAAGCGTCTCAACCAAATTTTCAGCCTATAAGAAAAGGAAGGAGGAAAAAGTAAAGAAAATCTTGAAAAATCAATCAAACTAAAAAGACGAGAAGTCTGGCCAATTCAAAACAAAATAAAACTAAAATATATCATAATATTTAAAGAAGAAAAATATATAAGTAGGCCGTTTATTTCTTGAGGTTTTTTTTGTATACCTGTTAAATTATTTTTTAAAGAATACCTAATTAGTTTTTTAGAATATTAACTTTTGTTTCCGCTTAGAATTTTTTTGTATAGGATAGATTGTTAATTATTTTTAAAGTAATACCTTATGTTTAGTTTTGACTCTTAAAAAAATGTTTTTTTCTTTTTAATATACTTATTAAAAATTGGTTTTCTTAAATTTAATTTGAAATCTTAACAAAAACAATATACATTGAATAAAATTATAAAAGATTGTATCCAATGTATAAAATTAGATAAAAAGAGATAATGTATTTACATAGAACAAATAAAACAAATTAATAAAAAATAATATAGTACATTTAAATCAATTCGAACATTGTATGATACCAAAAATAAAAATAATTGATTAAAAATTATTACTGAATAAATTGTTTCTTACATATAAATTATCATTTTCTGGATATTCTTCATGTTTTTATTCCTCAATAATTTCCATATCTAAAATTAAATTATTATAGTCTAAGATCCGAAGTAAGGTCGACCTTCACCCATATGTTTAATGAATTAACGTTTCTTTTTATTAAATAAAATGTGTTTATAAATATACCGCAAATGGGTTGCCTAAGAAAATACGGTCCAGACTATTTATTGTCTTAAAGTAAAACAAACGACACCCTGTAAAGTATTCTCCAGATGCTTTGACTATACCTAAACTTTAATCAGCTCACCTTAAGATGGATTGAAGCTTAAGTTTATTTCTCTTTATCCGTTTTTGAGTTATCTTCAAAATTCGAAATTTGCACTTTTTCTCAAATATCTCGAATTAGGTCCATTTTAGGGAAATCATGTATAGGAACAAAATAATAGAGAATGACATCATAAGCAACTTTTATCATGATTCCTATACTTTCCTTATCTGTACACAGAAAGGAAAGTAAAAAATGGCCGTGACCGTATTTTCCTAGGCAACCTATTTGCGGTATATTTAAATACATATTTTATTTAATAAAAAAAAACTTTTATCCATTAAACAGATGGGTGAAGATCGACACTACTTACGGATCCTGGACTATTATTATTAGTTACTAATATATTTTTATTTAAATTTTATTTAAATTCTAGTTTATTATGTAAAGTTCGATCCTTTAGTAGACAACGAAATCTTCTGTTTTAATAGCCCTATACATCTCTCGACATTATTCCGTGCTAAGTAATGAGCAGCATAATAACTACCTCCGGAAAGTCTGGATCAGCTCCAATTATAGAAATCATGGGAAAGGGTGCACAGGGTAACTATAGAATCTCTTTAAACACTTTTTAGACATTTTATAAGTACATTAATTAAAGGTATTTTTGCAATGTATGTACAATCTAATTGGACTTTAATTGTTTTAATTTATTTCCTAATAAAATATTTAACTAAGAGCCATATGGTCCTATGACCATCCAAATACCTACTATGGTCTTTTAACTCTACACATTTGAAAAATAGCAGAGTTATGAACGTTGCCTGGATATCTGGGATTTATATTAATAATTTTTAAATTACTCTTATAAATCTGAAATGTTTAATGTAAATATTAATACATTCTGTTAACTTAAAATAAAATCTTACTATTTAACAGTTAATAATATAGAAGTTTTTTCTGTTAAAGTATACTAGTCAAGGGACAAAACCTCCAGCTGCTGGGGGAAATAGGGAAATATGAGTCCTATTAATAGCACCTACTCAGCACCTATTCTAGGGAAATTGAAATTTTCAAAAAAATCTAAAATATTTGTTAAAAAATTGATAATACAACTGGATACAATGCAAACTCGGTAATTTCTTCCATTGTTTGAGGAAATTTTATTTGTTAAATTATTTACTATAGCTTCTTTTACAATATACAGGTAACGGCTCATAGATAACTGCGAAAAAGTACTGTGTCGATCTGTACCAACTGATTTTTGGTAGCTTCCAGGGCAATAAATATGCAAGCCTGTAATAAATTAAAAGAAAAAAATGTAAAATATTATTCATACGTAAAACTAGTTCACACTTGTACAACTGGTGGTATCCTAGTAATTCCTTGATCAGCATTCAGAAAAGGTTTTATTTCCAAAAACAACTGCTGTGTCTTGGCCTCGAAAATTCTATACATGTTTAAAAATGTTTGTTTTGGGAGAAAAAAAAAAGATTATTCCTTAATTGTTTCATAATTCGATTATTTTCTCTCCTAAAAATATATCAAAATAAATATTTCTTTTTGAATATTAAATAACTATACACTATACCTTTGATCAATTTCGTCTTTAAAAATTTACCTAATTTCCACTTGAATATTTACATTCTTGACAAAAACAGACAACTTTCCACGTCACGTTTCTGGGTTTCATGGACGGCGATTTCTATTGAATAATTCGTTGGCATTTTGGATACAGAATAACATTTATCATTCTTAAACGATATTCGTTTCTGAATGACATCGTACAAACTTACAGAATAGACGTCTTAGTTTAGACTTTTCAGTGAATAAAAATATTTTAAATTTAACAAAACAATACAAGTTTCCAGTGTTAGTTTAAATAAAATATCTAAAATAGTCATAGAAATTTTAGAATAAAATTGTAATTATTATGCATTATTTACCTATTTCCTCGTTAGTTTGTTTTCAAACGTAAATTTTGTTATACAATATATTAAGGTTTTCAACAATAAACATTAAAATTGTCCTATTAAAGTTAAGTAAACACGATTAAATAAAGACCTAGTCTATATTTTAATGGTTTGCCAAAGATTTATATTTATTATTTATTTATTTATAAAAAAGATTATACTGAGAAACTGAGGAATAATTGGTGGCCACTACATAAGTTCACTGGTCGTGGGAACTCACCAAGGAGCCACTAATATTAATTAATCCTCTAAAAGAAATTGATATTTTAATAAAATCTTACGTTTAATTATTTTTATACCCACCTAAACTATTTTCTAAATAAAAATTTTATTTTCAGATAAGGATTATATCAATACCTTGTATTTTTCACCAGATATAGTAAGTTATTTTTTTCTAAATATAAGTGTAAGAAAGAGTGATCTGCAAAAAATGTTTGAAAAGTAGGCCATTTATAGATATTAGTTTCTTAATAACTATGCCTGTCTTTAAATTAAATCCAACCTGACACTTCAAAAGAAGAATAATTGAAACGATAAGCTTGTGTCATTTTATCCAAGGCATACTTTAAAAACAATTTCTAGATCATTTCTTTATATTTTTAGAAAATGCATAATTTCCTGACCGTATCAGAACCCTTCATAAATAAACAAAGCCTCCTTAGAATGAACAGTATGTTTGTATTATTATAAAATTACTGTTCAGAAACGATATTTTTTTAAATATGGACACAAACCGAAAAAGTCAGACCTGGGCTATATATTGATATAGAAAACTCCTTCAATTCACATAACTTTGTTATCTTTACTATATTTCTATTACATTTACTCTTCCTTACCCTTTTATCCGTATTATTTAACTATTTAACTCTATTCTATCATATGTATCTATTCAAATTCCAAGTTTCAAACTTATGTCCCACTTTTAAATTTGATTATTTTATTTATATTTCACTCTCTCCTTTTCTGTCAACCCTCAACTCCTAATAATTTTCCAACATTCACATTTACCTATCCTATTATTTTTAAGTTTTATTTTCGCTTCGCATCGGTTTTAATTGTATCTATATTTTATTTTTATTTACTGTTTATTATTTCTTTCATACCCTGTATCTATTTTAGTTTTATTCTACTATAAGTTTTGCTTTAATTTAATATCCATTATTTCATTCTGTTGTAACTTTACCCTACTTTTATTTTTACTTGTAATAATACCTTTATGTTTCTTCTTCCTAATCTCATATATTTTATTTTGTACTTTACCTTGTCTTTTATTTTTCTTTAAAATTTGTTTTTATCTTTCTTTATTTTCTTTTTCACCATTTCTTTAGTACTTTAATTTTAATTTTCTTTATTCATGTTTACACCTTTTCTATATGTTGGCTTTGTCATTCATTATTTTGTTCTTTTTTTTTTTTTCATTTCTATCCTATCGTGTTCACTTTTTTTTGTCTTCTTTATTTATTTGTATTCTTTTTTTTTAAATACTTCATTGCTATTATCTATAACTTCTTCTAGTTTTCCAATTAAATTTTTGTTATCCTGCCTGAATTCTTGAATTTCTTGTTTTATATTGTTCATCTTATTACTTATTACTTTCTCATTTCGTTTAACCTCTTCTCCTATCTGTTTTTGTTCAATACTTCCATTTTATTTCCTATTTTCCTTCAATTTATTTTTTCATTGTTCGTATCTCTTCCATTGACATCTGTGAGATATTAGTTGATGGTATGTTCTGTTCCAATCTTTGTTGTTCTCCATAATATAATCTCAGGACATACATAATGTTCTGTGCCTCTGCTCGCGATGTATGGGCGGAAAAAGAAAGACCAGTTCAGTAGGCAGTACGCGAATAGACAGTGGCAGTACTACATCAACATTATATTTTGAAAATACTTGATCGTTAATTAAACCAATTAAAAAGTAGTTTAAACCTTTTTATTAGGGATAAAACATCCCTTCTGGTAACATCAGAAGTGGGCTCACTACGCGTACCGTGGCTAATAGACTAAAATTAATAATATATCTAGAAGTAAGTGCTAGTGATAATGGCGGACGAAAATACTGAATTTCGTGGGAGTGCGTAGACAAATACAATTTTTTTTTTTAGAGTATTGTTACTAGTCATTACTGACTAACCTACAATTTTAATCTAAAAATCTTACAAACTAATTACTTATCTAAGAAGTCCCCATTGGGCTGTCTTAATTGTCTTAGTTGGCGTGAAGATTTATTACACTGTTTTACACTAGCACTAACATTAACGTTCACTGCACTAGCTCAAATGGCTTCTTCCTTTTGAGCCTTCTGTTGAGTGTAGAGTTGTCCAGTAATTGCAGCGCTTCTTCGTTGACGTGGGAGTAGAGTCGACCCTCATGTTTCGCAGCAAACCTCTTTATTTCTTCTTCGATTGTTGGCATCTTTAGGTCTCTATGAAGATAATTGTTTCGGTAGAACCAAGGTGTATCAATAATACATCTTAGGACTTTATTTTGGAAAACTTGAATCATGTTGATATTACTCTTGCTGGCACATCCCCACAGCTGTATGCCATAAATCCAGATTGGTTTTAGGATTTGTTTATAAATCAGCAGTTTGTTGTGCACTGTCAATTTGGATTTTCTTCCTAGGAGCCAATACATTTTTTTGAATTTAAGTTCAAGTTCTTTACGCTTTATTTTTATGTGCTCTTTCCATTTAAGTTTTACATATAGGTTCATCCCTAGGTATAGACAAATACAATGACGCTCGATATTAATAACATCGTAAACGTAAATTGTCCAAAGCGTGCTAAATTTTAATAACAGAAAACATTGATAAACTTGGTAGCAGTCCAACAGTAACAAATTGCTCATTTAACCCAAAATTCCAAAATAGCTACATAGCCGTTAACTACGCCAACGCTTAGTATTGCAGAAGCAGATAAATCTAACTCGCAAGCGCCGACATTTTCGCATGTGCATTTTTTTCGACTTATCAGTCATGACCATGACGAGAGCGGCTATTTCATAGAAGAATGGCTTTGTGACGCTAGCAAAATAAAAGAAGAACTCAGCGTTAGCAATGGCCGTGTTCATCGTCGTCAAACATGTTGTAACGCTGAGTAAGCGGTGACGATGAACTGTCAACCGCTGCAGCGCTTTTGAAGAAGCATAAAAGCGAAAATAAACTCGCTTGTTTGCTTTAAAAGCATAAAATTGACCTTGAACCCCTGTCAAATCCGTCTTTTGGCATTTTGTTAGGTTATGTGTTTGTTTATTTATTTATATTTTGAAGGTTTTATACCCTAATAGAGTTGATTAGTTAAGTTGTATTTTAATATAATATTGTATTTATGGAGATACCTATTTGAAGAAAATAAAATTAATTCCAGACGTAGATACATACACGTATGCTTAAATTATTTCATTTGGACGTTAATGGGATTCCACCAGTAAGGAATATGGATCCTACATATTATATAGTTTTAGCACAGTTATTCAAAACAGACGAGTTTTGTTATTAAAACTGCACCGATGTTTTTGTTTTCATGTAATGTATATAGGGCCAAAAGGGCATTAAAAAATAAATAATAATAATAAAAGTATGACATTTTATTTACAAAATAAATTAAATATAAGCAATTATATTAAAAAGGGCCCACCTTGGTTTGTTGAACCTTTAAAAAAATACCTCATTACTGTATACATTTCAAATAATTTTTGCTAATAAGTCGCTCTACCTATATGACAACATTAAGTTTGTATATTTATTAATTTCCAATACAAAATATATCATTCCTATAAAAGAATTAATGTATATAGTTTGTCGATAAGGTATGTATAACTCTATAATACTAGACAAATTTTATTAATACATAAAAATAATTCACACTCAATATGAATATTAGCAATGACCAAAAATGTATAACACCTAAGTACCTAAATCAAAAATACTTTGTAAAAAAATAAGTAAAGCATTAGATGGGGATTATTTTAACAATTTTCGGTTTTTGTAATAAAACGTTATCATTTCTTACCTCACAGCAAGAAGCCTGTAAATTTTAAAAGACAACAGCAATTTTTCATTATTTTTAATGTAGAATAACAACAGTAAGATTGTAGTAAAAGTAAAACAATAATATAATAAAAAAATGTATTAAAAATAAGTGAAATAACATAATTTTGTTTATTTATTAGAAATTAGAAAAGCGAAATAAAACTTGTTTAGTGGGCTGATTTTCTATATTTTAGTTTTTAAATGGGAATGGAACTGTTGACGTGACTTGTTTATGTTATGCTTGGCTTTCAATACTGATACTTCAAATTAAGTAAGTTTTTTTCACTAGCACATATTTATATGAGATACCACTCTTTTTTGAAAAATGTTTTGAATCAGATCACGTTTTCTTTTAAAGCGGGACATTCTTGCATTCTTTGGGGACAATGGAACACATAACTTGAAAGTGGGTTTGTCTTGCCTAAAGCGGGACTTATGATGTTAGGTATGACTCAAAAATAAAAGTTTACTTCAGGTTGATTTTCATTTTTATCTCTTCCTCCTTTTTCGAATCAGTTTTGAACTGGTTTGAGACACATGCCTCAAGTTCTGGGCTGGAGTCCAGTTTAAATGATTACTAACTTTGAAGGAATTCTGTTTCCCTAAAAATAAGAAAGTCATACTTGATGTCTCTATTATTAAACACTTTTATGTATCCTTGATATATGTAAAAAGATCACTTTTTGATAAGTATGTTATTAGTATCATGAGTTCCTTTAATTTATTGGTGCAGACCAGACAGTTGATTAAACACAATAAATAGCATTCTCTTTCTGCTCTTCAAAGTATGATCTAGTTACAGTATGTTTTTATTTGTGTGTCAAAAAAATGTATTTTACCTTTAATAAAATGACTATTACAATTTCTTTGATTAGTCTAAGTATGTAGAATTCAAGATCCATAGAGGCAATAAAAACATCATGACTTTACAACCCAAAATAATACAAGTTGTAGGTTTTTCGCCGTAAAATTGTCAAAACCACTTTCAGAAGGGTACTTATATAAACTCTAATTCACTGTACAAATCAATTCAACTCAATTTTTTAAAAAAAATACTAAAGTAAACAATTCACATAACCTTCTTTGTGCCAACCAAATGTCATTCCATTTTTTGACAGATTTGAGGTTGAGAAAACAAATCGTAAACAAAAATGATCGTTCAGCGTCATTCCAACCGCTTATGAAACATGTTTCTTTGCTTTTAAAACATGTTTGACGACGATGAACACGGCCAATAACTACAATATCGCTAAAGCGAGCTACACACCTAATAATCGCGATTATTGTTATGACTGAACACTTCTTTCTCGAAAGTACCTAAAGTTAACCAGTTTAAAGATCGAC